CTCCTAAAGCAAGGGACATCAAGGAAAGAATAAACAAGTGTGTCCTCATCAAAATAAGAAGCTTGTACACCGCAAAAGAAAACATCATCAAAATGAAAAGGGAGCCAACCGTATCGGAAAATATATTCGCTAATGATACATCAGATAGAAGCTTGATCTCCAAGATATATAAAGAACTCACTGGACTCCACTCCAGGAAGACAAACGATCCAATCAAAAAATGGGCAAAGGACTTGGGCAGATGCTTTTCCAAGGAAGAGATACAGAGGGCCCAGAGGCATTTGAAAGGATGCTCAGCATCGCTATTCATCAGAGAAATGCAGGTCAAAACCACTGTGAGGTAGCACCTCACACCTGTCAGAATGGCCATCATAAACAGATCCACAAACAGCAGGTGCTGGCGAGGCTGTGGAGAAAAGGGAACCCTTGTACACTGTTGGTGGGAATGCAGACTGGCGCAGCCACTATGGAAAGCAGTGTGGAATTTCCTCAAAAAGCTGAAAATGGAACTGCCCTTTTGATCCAGTGATTCCCCTGCTGGGACTATACCCTAAGGACACCAAAATGCCAATACAAAGAACCTATGCACCCTAATGTTCATAGCAGCACAATTTACAATAGCCAAGTGTTGGAAGCAACCTTAATGTCCATCAGTAGATGATTGGATCAAAAAGTAATGGTACATATACACAATGGACTACTACGCAGCAGAAAGAAAAAAAAAGAACTACTAAACTTCATGACAGCATGGGTGGAACTGGAGAGCATCATGCTAAGCAAAGTAAGCCAGGGGGCAAAAGACAAATACCATATGATCTCACCTTAAGCGGAACATAAGCAACAATACAAAGATGCAAGGAAAGTATGACCAGCAACCCTGAAAGGAAAAGAAAGCAACAGAGACAAGAGAGCAGGAGCGGGAGGCAGGGAAAGGGAAGGGAACGGGAAAGTCAAGGAACATATAGCAAGGACTCATGGACACAACCAAAGGGGAAGAACTGACTGAGGGAAGGACGGAGGGGGCAAGGTAAAGTTTTTGGGGGGAGGCAGAGAGAAATGTATTTAAAAAATAAATAAATAATACAAACAAAAAAAAGTTAGTTTTTGAAAAATGTATAGAATTGCTAAATACCTATTAGAGTTAGGAAGAGAAAGAACAAACAAGAGAGAGAATGATAACAATTTTCTAAAATCTGGAAAAAGTGTACACAACTAAACCCTAAAGACATTAACATGGTAATAAAAATATACAGAGAACCAACAATAAATTGGAAAATTGAAAACTTGGCCAAAGTCTTGAAAACCACAGCTTCCCAAGGATGACACAAAAAGAAATACAAAATTTAAATAAAGGTTTATTTGTTTTTAATTAGTTGTGAATTTTACTCCCTCTCAAAAAATATTTTCTAACACATAGGGCTTCACTGGTGAATTTTAACAAATGTTTAAGAAGAAACCCACAAATCCTCTCTGAGAATAAAAACAAAAGAATGATTTCTTGACTAATTTTATGAGGTGAAACATCCTCAACAGAAATACTTTGCAAGGAAATTACAAGAAATAAATAACAAAATATTATAAACAAAAATTAGCAAATTGAATTCATGTACTTTCATTATGAATAAGACAGATATATTACAGAAATACAATTTTATTTTACCATTTTATAATCAATAAATAGAATTCATAATATTAAGGGATAATATAAAATGTTTTGTTATCTCAAGAGATGCACAATAAGAACCTAATAAAATTCAATATCTATTCATCATAATAATAATAATAAAATATTTAGCAAATTTAAAAGAAAATGTCCTTAATCCAATGAAAATATGCACAAAACACATAATAGCAATTGTAATAACTAATGTTAACTCCTGAATAATTCTTATCTGATATACTTAAAAAGATGAGAATATCAGCTGTCATGTTGACTCATCAGTGTATTAGAGTAGATAGCCAGTGCAATTGGGCAAGGAAAACAAAAAAGAATTTTTAAAAATTGTATTTCTCATATTTAGATATAAAAGTATGCATAGAATATCTAAAAGGATCTACAGACAACATATTAAATAATGTTAATTTTTATATGAATACTGGGAGCAAGGTCTAAATATTTTAACATGTTTTATATATTAGCAAAAATTACAGGAACACACACATGCACAAATATTCTCACAGAAAAATTAAAAAGTTGAAAAGCCCTTGCATTTTGGGCCTGAAAATCTATTTCCAAGAGTCATTGATCCAGAAGTCATTGTTAAAATCATGGATAAATTAATGTTTTTCAAGGTGAGGACATTTAGAAGAAAATCATTAAGTTCAAGAAACCACCTTTGAGACATGATGATTTGGGAGAGGAAGGAGAATAAGAAGAGCAAAGAAAGCAGAGGAAAGGACAAGAAGAATATGAAAAGACCATTTGCAAGACATCAGATGGCAGGGGAATGTCAGAATTTTCCAGAAATTTAAAGTTTTAACTCAATTTGTTTAAAAGGAGACAATGAAACTGTGTTTATATAACTCAGATCTCCAGGTAGTTTGATTTGACCTTTGGCTCTGTCAATTCATCATTCTGTTTTATTTGTTAGCTTTATTCCTGGGCCACCTTTGCCTATGGAACAAAGTTTTTCACAATTTCAAGCTTTGAAAACGGCATACAATCCAGACAAAGAAAGAGCCCTTCTTTTCTCAACCACTAAATATAATCTGTAGTCTTCAGTGGGAATGAACCAAATTAGGACACACACACACACACACACACACTGTGAACCAATTATTTCAAGTAAATTAGCTCTCATCTGGGGTCAATTTGCCCCCTAGGGGACATTTGGCAGTATCTGAAGATACATTTGGTTGTCAAAACTGTTAAGGTACTACTGGAATCTGGTGAGTTGAGATGCTGCTAAAAATTCTACAGTGCACAGGACAAACTTCCATAACAAATAATTATCTGGCCCAAAATGTCAATAGTGCAAAAGTTGAGAAATCTTTAGATAAGGGCTTTCCAAGCTCAAATGTATATCAGAATAATCTGAAAGGCTTGTTAAAATATGGATTTCTAGTTTTCACTTTTGGATTTTTAAAATTTAATTGTGTGGGCCTGAACATTTCTTTTTCTAACAAGCTCATAGGTACTACTCCTGGTGGTGACTCATAGTTCACCCTTCAAGAAACAGATTAATTAGGACCCTAGAGGATAGGTGAGGGTATAGTCAAGCATACAAAAATATGCCTACTCTATAAGATAATGTGGAATTTAATGTGTTCTTGAGAAGTAACCCATGATTCTAATGGAGAGAGGAGAAACCATATTTTCAGCCATTTCTTACCCTTTCCAAGTCCTAAAGTTGATATTGTCCTAAAATTTCCAAGTGGGGGAACTGCTTTCAGTACCCCTAGCAACTCCAAAAGTTCTCCTTGCTGTTACTTCCTTTAAGTTCTATAAAAAATATACTCAGGTACACTCCACCTCTTTCCTGATATTGTTTTAATCAAATGAATTTGGATTTTTTAAATGGTGTTTCTAGAAATCATGAAATAAGCAAAAAAAAATGAATAAAGGTAAGTGTAAATCAAACATCAAACTGAATTGATGCATGACAGATGTCAAAGTCCCTGAAGATAAGAAAAGTCTTCTTAACTCTTACTTGAATATTTAACAACCCCTTTGAATTATTATCTCATTGAAAAATTAGGAGCAAGATCCAATTTGATGAATCTTTGTAGGTAAAATCTAGTCATAGAATGGGCACAAGTGGATTTAGAGGGATTTAGGAAAGAAACAATTAGAATATAATAATTTTTCACTATGTGATAAATATTTTAATAATAGAAAATCAAGAATATCAAATAAAAAGAATAAAAGGAAGGAGAAGATGACTTGAGGAAAGACCATAAAATGGCAAATACATCTACTCAAATAATTTTTGCTGAACAATTATATGTGCAAAATAAAGATCCTGCCAGGGATTCATCTAAGGTAAGCCTTCTCTCAGGGAAGAAGGCTTTTTTACAAGTAGAAAAGAAAGAAAAACAAAAATAACTGCAACATTGAAAGTACAGAGTAAAGTATGGTAGCAGACAAGGGAGGGTTACTTCTACTGTAGCACTAGGGAAAGTTTCCTTGAGTAAGATGCATCACAAATGGTCTTTCAGGATTAGAAAGTCATTCAGGCAGAAAAAGAGAAATTACATTAACAGTGATCACCACCTCTGCAAACACAGTTATTCCAGAATAATTATAATTAGCTTACTTTGACAAATGATATTTCAGCACAAGCAGAAAAAAATATTTTAAAGAGTAAGCCAAAGTGATGTCACCATTAAATTGGATACAGATGCTCCTTGGCCTACATTGTGGTTACATACAAAAAAAAAAATCTATTGTAAATTGAAAATCTTTGTCAAAAATGCAATTAATATAGCTAACATACTGAATATCACAGCTTAGTCTAGCCAACCTTAAACATGTTCAGAATATTTATATTAGTCTACCCTTGAGCAAAATCATTTAACACAATAAGCACACTGTACAGTATTGGTTGTTTACTTTTGGCTGACCTGGAACTAGACTTGCTGCCACTGCCCAGCATTAGGAGAGAGTATCATACTGCATATTTCTAGCCCAGGAAAAAACCAAACTTCAAGTACTGCTTCCACTGAATATGTATTGTTTCCACAACATTATAAAATAAAAAAGTACAAGTCGGAGACCATTTGTATTTTATTTATTCTGAGATAAATTCTTGCTCACATCTCACATCGATGAACTGGGTGGAGCTTATTATTGATATTATCTGATAATATATTCACAGTTCTTAATTACTTTTCTGCTGATGTGTAAATTCTGATATATCGCAAAACCTATGGAAACTCTGAGAAAATCAAATATAATGATTATTTAATTAAATATGATGAGATTGACTTCTGCGCTGACAACTTGAGTTTCAGATCTTCTGAGTACTTATTCCAAATGAGAAAGGAGATATGATAAAATCTCATGGGATATTCTGATATGACCTGTTAAGAACACAAGCAATTTTAGCTCTATATAAGAGGTGACTGTATGCCCATTTTATATCAACATTCTTCACAATGGCCAAAAGGTGGGATCAACCCAAGTATTTATTGAAAGGTAAATGGGTAAACAAAGATGTCATATAAATACAATGAAATATTACTCAGCCTTCCCTAAAAAGGAAATAAATTCTGAGACATGCTACAACATGGATGAATCATGAATACATGAATGCTAAATAAAATGATTCAGTCATAAAAAGATAAATATTTATGGTTTCACTTATATAAGGCATCTGGAGTAGTCAAATTTATATAGCCAAAAAGTAGAATGTTGGTTGTCTAGGCCTAAATGACTAGGAAATGACAAAATGTTGTTTAATGGGTACAGATTTTTAGATTCTTCTAATGAAAAGAGTTCTAGAAATAGGTTGCACAAAAATGGGAGTGTAATTAATACTGCTAAACACATTTAAAATGACTATGGTAATGTTTTGTGTCATATACATTTTACAACTAAAAATAGATTTATATAAAAAGAAGGAAATTGGGGAGAAAGTGCAAAAGTTTTACAGAAAGCTTGAGTCTAAAATCACTAAATACATAAAAATGGTATAAAAGAGTGAGAGGTAGACAGAAAAAAAGAAAGATTTTTATAAACTTACCAGCGCCTCAAAAACCATAATGCAAGACATATCAAAAGAATCATGGTGGGCAATATCACTGCCAACAATATCACACTGGTAGAGGTAGGATACCCTGGCAATTGAGAGAAGACACAAAGATATCACTTCAAAACATTTTCTCTGCAGTTCTCTCTCCCTGGAAGACACTTACCCCTTTTCCCTTCTCCTTCCCCCAGGCATGGTTGTTTGCTTTTCTTTCTCCTAAGCTCCAAGTGCCCTTCTTTTCCTTTTATAACTTGTTTCCTGAGTCCACACAGTTCAGCTGGCTCATCTTTTCTGCCTTTGTGACTTTATAAATAAACTTTCTCTTACAATTTGAAAAAAACATTCTCTGATTCTCTTGACCTTTCTTTGCTCACCTGAGTGTCAGCATCATCATTCACCTGCTTCTAATGTATGAGCATATTCAACTCCCTGTTTCATATTTTCTAACACAATATATCTATATCTATCATCTATCTCTTCTTCTTGCTCCACTTCACACGATGTATAGGACCATAATGTTTAATGTATAGGTACATAATGTTTACCTCTTTCATCCCTTAAGTCAGTGATTTTTCAATCTTTGTCATTTCATGGCACACATTAACTAATTACTACAATTCTACAGTACCCCTAAAAATATACTATTTGACAATCTTACCAAAAAATAAATAAATTTTATTCATTCACACCAGACAGCTATTGTTGTGTTGGCTGTTTTCATTTTTTCATTTGACAACCTAAGAGGAAAGAGGGCAGTGCCTCTGACTAAATAGTCAAGTTTTCATGTTTTAAAAATTATTGTGGCACACCATTGGGCCCCTTGCAGCACACTGATTGAAAAATCACTGCCTTAGATCATCTCCCTATTTTTTATGTGTCATTTTCCCCTTCTTTTCTTCCTCCCTCCTTATTTCTCTCTCTCACCCATTAAGCCTACCATTTTGTTTGTCCCTCCCTCTGTGTTTGAGGAACAGCTCCTCCCATTTCCAGATAGAACCAGTGCTTTCTCACCCCAGTAGAGGATGATGTCCTGGCCTCCTAGACTGCTGTGCTTTACCCGGCAATTCAGGTTAGCCGCCTCCCCAGCCACAACATCCAGAGTTACTCGGAGGTACCATGTCCCATCAGCATTGGGAAGGATGTCACTTTGGTGCATTCCTGGCTGCTCCTGCTCTCCCCTCATCCACATTACCCATGCAGGTTTGGGGTAAAATCCTGAGACATGGCACACCAGCAACAGACGACCAGGACCAGGAGTGGGACCACTGGAAATCCAGGCTTCAGGCTTCACTGGGGCAGGAAGGAACAAGGGCAGTGTCACATTACAACTTTAATCTAGGGCATAGAGATACAGAAACCCACAGGTTTGGACAGTGACCCCTTCTACTCCTTTGGAAACCAAATAATTTATTGATTAAGAACCTCTCTGCTTAAGTAGGTCCTACTCTTGAATTTGAAGAGGTGGTGGGAAGTAAAATAGAAGTCTTGGAGAGAGAAGAGAACTAACCTTGTCTCTGTAGTTCCACCTTCCCTGCATCGAGGACACCCATGAGATATCGAGGACAGGTTTTCAAGAGGAGCTTCTCTATGATATCAGCGATACCTTGGTACTGAATGAAAATTGTGCAGAACCGCTGTGCTCTGATGCCACCCTCTGTAGCAGGTACACATGAATTATTCTCAAGGCTCAGAAAATCTAATCCTCCTAAAGCTCCCTTTAAGAAGCTTACTGTGGTCTCCCCAGAATGCAGTTCACAGCCTGCTATGCCCTGGATCTCAAAAGGATCTAGATAAAAGAAAAACAGAGAAAAATATATTGAAAAGCAAACTGGAGAAATCAACAGAGACAAGAAGGAAGGAGGGAGGGGGGTGGGGAAAGGAAGGGAAGGGGAAAGTCAAGGAACATATAGCAAGGACTCATAGACAAAACCAAAGGAGAAGAGCTGATGGAGGGAAGGAGGGAGGGGGCAAGGGAAAATGGTGGGGGGTAGGCAGAGACAAAGGTATTTGAAAAAATAAATAAATAAAATAAAAAAATAAAAAAATAAAAGTGCAAAAAAATAATAAAAAGAAAGAAAAGCAAACTGGAAAGAAAAGGATGAAGAAAAGATATAAAATTTTGCATTTTTGTGGAGAGAAAGGTCTGAGATGTAAAATTTTGAGCCAACAAACAATTCAGTACAATCATGTACCACAAAACAACTTTTCAGTCAACAACAAACGACATATATGAGGGTAGTCCTATAAGATTATAATGGAGAAGAAAAATTCCTATTGCCTAGTGATGTCATAGCCATCATAACATCATAGCACAATGCATTACTTATGTGTTTGTGGAGATGCTGGTGTAAACAAACCATTGTATACAAACAAAGCATTATAGCTGTAGAAAAGCATAACAATATAATATGTACAGTACATAATACTTGATAATGATAAATAATGTTACTGACTTCTGTATTCATTATACTTTTTATTGTTATTTTAGGGTATACTCTTTCTACTTATGAAAAATATGTTTTATATAAAAAAGTATGCCATGTTATACCAGCAGCAGCTTCATTTAGCTCACATTTACTGCATCACTTTATTGTATCATTATCTCTTGTGCTTGATTTACTCTCAGTTTTTTGTACAGTAATATGCTGTATATGATTGTAGCCTGGGACTAATATATCACATAGCTTAAGTGTGTAGTAGGATATCATATCTAGGTTTGTGTAAGTGTACTCTACAATGCTTGCACAACATTGAAATTGTCTAACAATGAATTTCTCAGAATATACCCCCATTGTTAAGTGGGGTATGACTATATTCAGAGACTTTTCAGAAAGAAGTGCATAGGGAGAAATATACATGTCATAAATGGTGGAGAATGTCTGTTGTAATGATCTACAGTGGGTAAGAAGAAAGAAAAGAGGGGAAATGTGAGGAGCAGAGTGAAGTCAGGCAAGAGTACATTTCAGAATAAAGAGAATTACATTGATCAGGGAGGAGATGCTTGAGGAAATGGATCGAAGAAAAAGGAAGTCACACTTTAGTTTACTCAGGCACAGAGTAAGAAAAGTAAGGTCTTCTTGCTTGGGGTTTAAGAAAAAAAGTTATACACAAAACAAGATATGGCTATAAAAAGGGATCTTTATCAGTCAAGACTGCAGGAAGCATGAAGAATCTGAAATACTTTGTGGAAGTATGGAATCTAAGTAGAAGATTACTCTAGAGAAGTGTAGGTATGCAGTTAGATAAACAGGGAAGAGGAGAGAAAAATCCTGGGGTATAGTAGCCTGAACCAAGAGAGAGAGAAAAAATCATTAATAATCTCCACAGAGAAGACTGCACTCACATGTCAACTGGAATTCACTGACATGATCCTGTACCACCCGAATGAATCCAATTAAATAGACTCGAAATAGCTCCACAAGTTCAGTCACCTCCTCATTACTGAAGTTACCCTTGGACCAAGGCTTCAAGAAAATGGCGGTTTCTGAGTCACTATCCCAGCGATGAATCTGCAAGTCATCCAGCCAGCCTGAACCTTGATTTTGCGCCCAGGTGCTATTGGCAAATGATGATATCTGGATGACATGGAAAGAGCTCGGCCCCTGGAGAGCTGTGGGTAGTAGAAGGATAAGAAAAGTGAAAAGAAAGAAAAAACCATGAGAAAATAGGGGGGGAAAGTTAAAACCACAGAGATCCATGGAAAAAGAACCCAGTATCTGAAAAACAAAATGTCTGAGACATTTGCTTTTGCTGGGGCCTCTGGCTCCATTGCAACTCCAAAATGGAAGAAGAGGGCTAGAGACAGGAAGGCCCAGACCTTTGGGGTCATGAGCAGCATTATTTTATACAGACACCTTACACCCATGTTGGGAGCTTCCAGAGTTACTCTTACCGTGCTCATTGTCACCACCTGGGATGGGAACTGCTAGCAATAGAAGCAGCAAAAGCAGCATTTGATCAGGAGATAGAACTTCTGACTCTAAGAGCTGGTGTTTGATCTCTGAACTCAGCAAACCTTTTTCTCAATGCACTATAGTGACTTCCTCTTTCTTCCTGCTGACAAATCCCCATTGCACATTAGAGAAAAGCTGTGCCTCCCACAGCCCTGGCCCTCCCACTTTGCCTCTCATTTCCACTACAGCCCCTGACTTCCAGATTTTTTTCTCATCTCCCTGACTTCCAACAGTTCATCCTGAGCTCAGATTTTCTTATACTACCTTGAAAAAGCCCCTGTATGGTTTTGAAAATTTATTTTATCTCTTCAGTCTTGCATCATAACATCTATTAAATAATAAGGTAATGTTAAACAATCTCCTCCTTTAATATAGGATAATTCTTTTGGTTTATCCACCCAACTCAGCCTTCCTTCTCATGACCCTCTTTCCCTGGCACTCTGTAATTACTTCTTTTCAACATTCTTGATGGCTCCTCTTTCTGAGCTCGTCCCCTTTCTCTGGTTTCCCTAACCCCACATTCCTGTTTCTGTGTACGTTGATGTGTGTATGTGTTGACAATCATTTACAAAAGACAAAACATTTAAAACATGTGCCTGGACTATAGCACTACAGACCCAAATCCCAAAATTAAATAAGATAAATACTTTAGTTTATAATCCAAGCAAAACTATCTTATACCATAGTAATTTTCAAAAAGAAAAATTACATTTGCTACTATTAGATGACCTTCTTTTCAGTAGCTCTTGACTTTTGGAAGTTTGAGTAACAATTTTTTTACAACACAGCCAGAATTTTAGGAGTTATGAGTAGCTTCAGGCTAAGTCAAAGTAAACATTTTTTGTATAACTATTCTTTTATTATTTTTCTAAGCACAATAACATTATTTTCTTTATTTTTACATTTTCCTTTATTTTAAATTTTTATTAATCTCTTCACCTTTTTCATTCAGCTCCCCCAAAACTCTTCCCCCTTGAAAGCTGTAACTCTGTTTTCTGTATCTATTAATCTGTTCATATATTGTCTGTCTATTTTGTTCGTTAAATTCCAAATATAAGTGAGATCATATAGTATTTGTCTTTCTCTAACTGGCTTATTTCACTTAGCATAATGCTCTCCAGGTTCATCCATGTTGTTGCAAAGATAAGATTTCCTCCTTTTTTATGGCTAATTGGTATTCCATTGTATAAATCCACCACAGTTTTTTCATCCACTTGTCAATTGATGGGTACTTGGGCTGCTTCCAAATCCTGGCTATTGTAAATAACACTGCAATAGGGTGCATATATACTTTTGAATTAGTGTTTCAGATGTCTTTGGATATATTCCCAGAAGTGGAGTCACTGGGTCAGTTTTTGAGGAAATTCTGTACTGCTTTCCGCAGTGGCTGCATCTATCTGCATTGCAACCAACAGTTCATGGGGATTCCCTTTTCTTCACATCCTTCCCAACACTTGTTTGTCTATTTATTGATGACAGTCATTTTGACAGGTGTGAGGTGTGGCTTTAATATGCATTTCTCTGATGATTAGTGAAGTTAAGCTTCTTTTCATATGTCTATTGGCCATCTTCATGTCTTCTTTGGAAAAGTGTCTATTTAGGTTCTCTGCTCATTTTTAATTGGATTATTTTTGGTGTTGAGTTGTATTAAGTTCTTTATAAATTTTGGATATTGACCACATGTCAGGTGTATCTGGCAAATATGTTCTCCCATTCAGTGGGCTATCTTTACATTTTGTTAATGGTTTTCTATGATGTCCAAAAACATTTTCATTTGATATGGACCTATTTGTTTATTTTTTTTTCTTTGCCTGAATAGATTTGTCTGAAAAAAAAAAATTTGCTATCAGAAATGTCTGGAATTTTAGTGACTATGTTTTCTTCTAGGATTTTAACATTTCAAGTCTAACATTTAAGTCTTTAATATATGTTAAATTCATCCTTCTATATGGTGTAAGAAGTTGGACGTTTCATTTTTTGCATGTACCTGTCTAAATTTTCTCAATGCCACTTATTGAGTCAGCTGTCTTGACCCAATTGTATGTTCTTTCCTCCTCTGTCAAATGTCAACTGACCATAAAGGTGTAGGTTTATTTCTGGACTCTCCATTCTGTCCCATTGATTTATATGTCTGTTTTTATGCCAGTACCATGCTCTTTTGATTATTATGGTCTTGTAGTATAGTTTGATATCAGATAGCATAATTCCTTCAACTTTGTTTTTCTTTCTCAAGTTTGCTATTACTATTCAGGGTCTTTTGTGGTTCCTTGTACATTTTTGGAATATTTGTTCTAGTTCCATGAAGTATGCCATTTGTATTGCCATTTGAATCAGGAGAATTGTGGCCTTGTATAATGAACTTGGAACTATTTCCTGCCTTGAATTATTTTTGGAATAGTTTGATAAAGATGTGAGTTAGTTTTTCTTTGAATGTTCCATAAAATTCATACCTGAAGCCATCTGATCCAGGACTTTAGTTTGTTAGGATTTTTTATTACTGCTTCAATTTTACTTATGGTAATCAGTCTACTCAGATTTTCTAATTTTTGATTGTTTTGGAGTATAGTATTTTTCTAGAAATTTATCCATTCTATACAGATTGTTCAGTTGATTTGCGTATAGTTGTTCATAATATTTTCTTACAATTATTTTTATTTCCATGGTGTCAGTTGTTACTTTTCTTCTTTCATTTCTGATTTTATTTGTGTTCTCACTCTTTTTTTCTTGATGAGTCTGGTTAAACCATTGTCATTATTGTTTATCTTTTAAAAGACTGTCACTGAGGAGACCCAAATTAAGGGCTCCTCCTCCCCAGTTCTTGCCTTGCTTGTAAGAGAAAAAAGAATTCAGGTGAGAGACAACATATACAGTGGGAATAAGATAGCAAGTTTATTGAACACAAAGCTGCACACAGACACCCAGCTAGTCTGAGTACCCCATGTATAGTAGAAATAAGGTAGTAAGTTTGTTAGTTTGTCCTCTACAATTCAGCACAAAGCTTCAAGCTGGCACCCAGCTTACCTGAGAGCCCCAACTATTAGAACTGTGGTGTTTTTACACTAGTGGTCAGCTTCTAGGTTCCCCTTCCTTCTTCCCTTTCCAGACCTTAAGATTAATGCACAGTTACAAAGGCTTTCTTTCCCAGCTAGTGGAAATAATACATTCAGAATTTCAAAGGCTCTCCTCCTCCTGCACTATTTAGGTTTTTCTTGTGGTTTTTGGAATGTCTGGCAATCTTATAAGACCAGGTTCAGAACTGCTGAATTAACCCTGTGGAGGTCATGGCTGATCTGAGAGATACAAACTCTTTTCCTAAATGCTGTTAACTATATTGGGTGCACAGTTTCAAGGTCATAACTAGCTGTATGTTTGTACATGACCAATCTTAAGCCATAATGTTTAAGCCATGAGTTTGGTTATAATACTTTTCATAAGGATGTGCAATATTCAATAGTAAATTATATCCGAGAGATACTGCAGACTTCAAAGTTAGTGTTGGTGTAGTTGTTTTGTTGTTAGGATTTTTTTCCAAACTTCAAAGTGTTGTGTTTTCTTTTTCATTTACCATATAAAATGGATGGGAAAATATATTAACTTGATAATCCAAGAGATGTTGAGAACTTCACTGAATGCTACTGAAGTCTGATGATGAGAATGATAGAGTCGAAGGTGAAAATGAAAGTGATTTAGAAGATGAAGATTATGTGGAAGTTCATTCAGAAGATTTGGATATTGAGAAAGATTTCTAGTTAAGGAAGTGGAGATGAATTAGAAATGAATTAAGAGTATTTTGGGGGGGTGGGGAGGGATTAATAATCAAACTGAAAGAAAAATTCAACAAAGAGACAAATTAGAAGACAGCCACAGAATATTTTGTATCAACTTCCATTAGTTCAGCCAAATGCAAAAAATGCCAAGACAGAACTTGAAATTTGGAACTGCTTTATCACAAATTATATGTTAGATCTAATCTTATTATATACAAATAAATGTATCCATTCTATCCCAAGCCAGTTTTTATGAGAAAGAAATGCCAAATGAATAGACAAGACCAAATTGAAAGCATTTTAGGTTTCTTTTTATCTAGCGGGTTTACATCACAGCAATTGGCTAAATTTGCAGGATTTATGGGCTACAGGTGGTAGTGGGATTGAACTTTTTAGATTGATTATATCTTGATAGAGATTTAAATGCATTCATAACTATATCAGGTTTGATGACAGACTTTCCTGCTTAGAACACCTGAAAGTGGACAAATTAGTGGCTGTGAGAAATGTTTTCACAGCATTTGTAGGAAATTGTAAACTATGTCACCCTATGGGACAGAGTGTAACAACAGGTGAACTGTTACATGGATTTGGGGACAAATGTGGGTTTAGAAAATATATTCCATTCAAGCCCAGTAAATATGGTATAAAATTTTTTGCTATGGTTGATTCAAAAGTATTTTTACATAGAAAATCTTGAAATATATGTAAGTAAACAGTCTGAAGTTACTTACATAATTAGTAATAAACCAGATGTAATCAAGAGACTTACAGAATGCATTTACTCACCAGGACCTAATATTACAGCAAATAATTGGTTCACTGATACAAATCAACTTGAAATAAAACCAACTTTCATACATAAGTACTGTTCATAAGACTAAACCTCAACTACCCCCTAAATTTGTGTCTTCTAATATCAGGCCTGAAAAATCCAAGTTATTTGCTTTTGGTACAGACTGCACACTTGTATCTCATATACCCAAAAAAGGGGAAAAAATACCCATAATTTTAGTTTCAAGTATTTATTTCAATGACTTATTATCTAAATCAAATTTAGATTTGTGGCATAATAGAATATTACAACCAAAGTGAGGAGTTGACACTGCAGACCAAGTGATAGGTACATATAATGTGGTCAGAAACACCAAAAGATAGGTTATAGTTATATTCTACAATTTTGAATATTGCAGAAATAAATGCTCAGACTATTCATATGCTGAACAGCAATGT